TTAGTACCTTCCATAAGTTTTTGTTTTTTTTATGCTGTGTCTTATCCAATTTCTTAACATGAAGTTTTTTATGTTCTATTCAATTATCTCAATTTTGAAAAAATTCTAAATTCTGTTTTCTAACTTAAACTTTTCTTTAACCTATCCCACACTTACATTAGATTATTTACAATAAGGTTGTTTATTTTTAGAGTAATTAATATTCCATATTGCGGTTTCCCAATTTTTCATACTAATCATATTCCATTCAACTAGATACCAGAATTCTTTCTTATTATTTTGTAGTTGAGATCTATATATATATATACAATCAACAGGAGGGCTCATATATTCATATATGGTGGTATTGCCCTAAGATTCTTGCAGTCTGGAATAAAATATTTGAATGTCTTGCACAAATAGATGTTCCTAGACTTATAAAGTCACCCAACATAGCTCTCCTCCACCTAAATTATCCAAATTTAACTAAAATAGATAATTTTTTTGTAACCAATTGTTTGGTCGCAGTTAAAATTGTCATAGCACGCAGGTGGAGACAATTAGAACACCCTACCTGGAGTGAGATTAAAAAACAAATAAACCACCAATTGGTAATGGAGTGTAGTCTCACTCATTTACATAACTTCGGTACCAAAGGAGACAGGGAAAGAATTAGTAAGAGGATAGAGGATATTAAAACATGGTTGGAATGACCCTGACACGTAAAGGTTGACCTCCGGGCTCAGCGTATGTTTTGAAGGGAATCCCTCACAGCCCCGTTACTCCCCCTCCCTTTTGACCGTGTGGGATATTGCAGTCCACCACTGGATTTACAAGCATCTCTGCAATCTTGAATCCACCTCTGCTACTTTGGAGACCGCATGGTACATCGAAGATGGCTGTCGAGCTAGGCTCCTGCAACACAGGCCAGCCTTTGAGGCCAGATTCAAGCATTCTGGCACCACTTAAGCAGCCAACCTTGACACACTATCTCCCCTGCTGACATCAAGACTTAAACTGTATCTGCACCGCTGTGTTCCTCTTCCAGCCTGAGGATCCAAATGGAGTTGCGTCCAGCCCGCCATCCACACACCCAAAGGGGCTGCTGGATTCTGGGAACTCCCATGGGCCCAAGATCCTGCCAAGCGGAGTAGGGGGATCAGTGGACATGGAGCTTTGGCCCTCATTAAGGTCTTGGATCAAGGTTGCGGGGAGTGGAGTCGATCTGGAGCAAGGAACCTGGCAATTCCTCATGGGAGCTGAGGGGACTGGAGAAGATATGGAGTCTGACATGATGGTGGGCATTCTGGAGTTGCCTAATTGTGGCATTGGCTGAACACAATCCATATTTGGTGCCTAGCTAATTATCTTTTAAGCATATCAGCGTTTATATGTGTTTAATGTTTTAGGTGCCCAGTGGTAACAAATAAGTCCTGAATCCTAGTGCATATTATTTTTTCTCAATATGATATGTTACTATTGTCTGACTTGAATGGAGGTAGTCAAGCTAAGTGCATAAAAATTCCCTTATCTTGTGTCTACTGCATAGTGCACTGTGTTATTTATCTTGTTCTCCTTCCCTTTAAACCTTTAAAATGAGGCCTTTCTATACAGTGTGACATGCTGTGCATCTTTTCTGTGCATCAGAGCTTCAGTTTAGTCCTGTTAGATAAAGGAAAAGGGGGGGGGACAGCGCTACAGTACTGATCACAAAGGGGGATAAAGCTGCACACCTGAAAGGAAGGGTAACCCTCAAACCCTTAAAAAATTGGGAGAACAACAGACAACAGATACAGGGTGCGCTAGAGAAAATGAAAGAGTCTCTATAGGTATGGTGTAGGTCTTGAGTGACTGTTCTTCTATTCTTGCTCTACACTTGAAAAAGCCTATTGTTTGGCGAAACGCGTTGTGTATTTTACTTTTGTTTTATATTAAAGTATTTTGAGACTACCTTTTACCTTGGGTTAGTTCATTTACTTTATATGTTGCTGTTTTATCCTGGCTGATTTCCTTTTTTAACAAGACCCAGTACTTCAAAAGAAATCCTTGGTGGGGATTATTCCACCTACGCCTGGTTCATAGAGCAGTGCGTCTGCTCTGAACACTGTAAGTACGTTTCTTTTTCTTTTTCTGTTATTTTATATATGGAAAACACTATGGGCCCTCTCTTGTGATTTTATTTTCATAAGTCCGGCACTGCAAGCATCACTAGAGGAATATCCTACACGTGGGGAGTTCAAATACCACTGTATGCTGTTTTACTCAGAGCTGGTCATAGCTCTAAAAATTGTAAGTTGGCACTCCTAGGACCTCAGTGTTGTCTGTCATTGCAATATTACCTTAGTTATTGCACCATTGGATTTTCCTTCTTTTATATATTTTATATGCTGACGTTTGTCTGAGAAGGTGTAAAGAATCGTGTGGAGTCACCTCCAATTTGCCCAGTAATATCCTACATGTGGGGAGTATTAAATACCACTGTATGCTGTTTTACCTAGAGCTGGACGTAGCTCTAAAAATTGTAAGTTGGCATTTCTCCACGTCTGTGTTGTTCGTGATCCTCCTAGTATTACGGTTTTGCACTATTCGGTCTCCCCCCTCTCTGCTTTTGTATTCCATATCTGACTACGGAGATTCCAAAGCAAGAATAGAAGAACAGTCACTCAAGACCTACACCATACCTATAGAGACTCTTTCATTTTCTCTAGCGCACCCTGTATCTGTTGTCTGTAGTCCTGTTAGATGACTCTTGTTTCAGTTTAGTGCTGTTAGATGACTTCTTATCTCTGCAAATGTGTCATAACTGCTCAGCTCATGTTTTTATGCATTATGCCTCAATAAAAATTACAATTGAAAAAAGAAATCTGTATAATATGTGTGTGCTATACCCCAAAATGCCTCACTAAAGTAACTTTAA